GGAACCTCTCTTGGAAAACCTGACTGGGAATATGACTTGGATCTCTTCTGGAGAGTTCAAGCCTGGGCTTCAGAGGATTTGGAGAAGTTATAGATTCAAGGACAAATCACAGAGGGAAGCAACCTGATTAAAACAATTGCTTTTGGCCACAACTTGACACTTGATACCATTCTCCCCATCCTGAAGAATATGCATGGAGGGGATGGCTTGATATGTGTGAATTCTGTTGTGGACAGACCCACCTGGTGATGAGATACCTTGCAAAGGCTCAATTTCTATGTTTGAAGCGGGTGACAAGAAAACAAGATCTACTGCCAAAACCTGTGTCTATTAGCCAAGCTTTTTTCTGGACCACAAGACATTATCTTATGATATGGAGCCCTTCCTGTTTTATGTTATGACAGAAGCTGTCATCTGATTGGAAATATTTCCAAGGAAAAGAATGCATTCCTCAACTATAATGTATCCTGTATCCTTACTGTACCTCAGTACATGAGACAGGGTTAGGGCAAGATGCTCATTGATTTCAGTTATCTGCTTTCCAAAGTGGAAGAAAAAGTTGGCTTCCCAGAATGTCCCCTCTCAGATCTGGGGTTCATAATCTACCACAGTTACTGGAAAGAAGTACTTCTCCGTTACTTACATAATTTTCAAGGCAAAGAGATTTCCATCAAAGAAATTAGCCACTATCAAGATAGCTGTGAATCCTGTGGACATTGTCAGTACTTTGTCTTTCAGATGCTTAAGTACTGGAAAGGAAAACACCTCATTTTAAAGAGATAGGACTTGATTGATGAGTGGATAGCCAAAGAGGTCAAAAGGTCAAACTCCAGTAAAACCATGGATCCAAGTTGTATAAAATGAATCCCTACCAAGAGCACTTCAATTGACCTGTCACTCTGAGCCAGTGAACCCCAGAAGTAGGAATCCTTACCCTAGGGATCTGTCATTTCTGTTGCTCTTGTGATTGGCAAGGGTGGTATCCTTTGGGAAGGCCATCCCCCTCAGGACTTTCCTGGCTCTGGCCTTCGTGTACACTGACGCTGCTTCTGAGAAACTGTTGTTTTGGCCTCAATGAGGTTGCCCAGATGGGATCTGGATTAGACTGGAGGGCAGATCCCTCATGGCACTGACCCAGGAGTTCTGTCATGGTACTGCTCCTGTCCAGACTCTGGTTCTCTCCTCATCCTCTAGCCCCAGGAGGTTGTATTGCATCTTCGAAATGGTTTGTAATTGTGCTTCTTGCCACACCAGGTTACCAGACCACTAAATATGGTTACTATTACCTGGACCTTTCCACAAATCAAACAAACAAGAAAACCAACTCCATGAGAGCCAAAATATGACCTTGAATATATCCACCTGAATTTAGAGACCATTTCAGGGACAGATTTGATATATTAGATACTATTGACTGACGACCAGAAGAGTTGTGGGATGACATCAAAAAGAAAGCAAAAGGGCATTAAAAAGACAGGAAAGAAAGAGAAGACCAAAATGAGTGTTAGAAGAGACTCTGAAATTTCCTCTTGAGCATATAAGCTAAAGCAAATGAAAGAAATGAGGAAGTGAAAGAGTTGACAGAAGCTTTCAAAGGGCAGTTCAAGAAAACAAAGTCAAGTATTGAAATGTACAAAGATTTGGAGTTAAAAAACAAAAAGGAAATAAAACACTCAGCATTTCTCAAGCTGACTGCAGGAAAAATTCAAGCCTTGAACTGCAATATTGAAGACTTCTATTGGCAAAATGGAGTTCTGGTATGGCGCTATAAGATAAGCACTGGACTGCTAACCACGAGGTCGGCAGTTCAAACCAATAAGCCATTCCTCAGAAACCCTATACAGGGTCAATATGAATTGGAACTGATTGGATGCCACTTAACAACAACAACAGTATGGGCAAAACATTGAATGATGCAGAAAACATCAAAAGAAGATGGAAAAAATATACACAGCCACTGCATCAATAAGAAATGGTTGATATTCAACCATTTCAAGAGGCAGCATATGATCAAAAACTGATGGTACTTAAGAAGTCCAAGCTGCACTGAAGGCATTTGCAAAAAGTAAAGATGCAGGAATTGACGGAATGCAAATTGAAATCTTTCAACAAACGAATGCAACACTGAAAGTACTCCCTCATCTATGGCAAGAAATTGGAAGAGATCCATATGTAAGTTCATTCCAAAGAGAGATGACCCAAAGGAATTCACAAATCATCCAATAATCTCATTAATATCACATGCAAGCAAAATTTTGCTGAAGATAATTCGAAAACAGTTGCAACAATACTTCAAGAGAAACTGTTAGAAATTCAAGCTGGATTCAGAAGAGATGTGGAATTAGTGACATCATTGCTGATATCAGATGGATCTTGGCTGAAAGCAACAACCAGAAGATATTTACTTGTACTTTATTGACTATGCAAACGCTTTTGGCTGAGTGGATCGTGATAAATTATGTGTAACATTGCAAAAAATGGGTATTTCAGAACTCTTAATTTTGCTCATGAGGAAAGTACACACAGACCAAGAGGCAGTTGTTAAAACAGAACAAGAGCATATACTGCATGGTTTACAATCAGAAAAGGTGTGTGCCATGGTTGTATGCTTTCATCATACTGTATGCTGAGCAAATAATCTGAGATGCTGGATTATATGAAGAAGAATGTGGCATCAAAATTGGAGGAAGACTCATCAACAGTCTGTGATTATGCAGTTGATACAACCTTGCTTGGTGGAAGTGAAGAGAACTTAAAATATTGATGAAAATCAAACACTGTGGTCTTCAGTATGGATTGCACCTCAATGGCAAGGACACAAAAATCCTCACAACTGGACCAATGGATAATACCATTATAAATGAAGAAGGGATTGAAGTTTTCAAAGGCTTCATCTTGTTTGGATCCACAATCAACACTCAGGCAGCATACAAGAAATCAAATGACATATTGCATTAGGCAAATGTACTACAAAAATATATATATATCTTGAGGTGTTAAAAAGCAAAGACTTCCCCTCCAAGACTGAAACTCAAAGGGAACAAATGGGCAGGCATGTAAGCTTGCTGGTGACAACATTGGTCTACTGGTGAGTAGAAGAGGGGGAAAGGAAGCAATGAAGAAATGGGTTGAGTTCAACCACATTCCATTGGCTCTCATTGACCTGGAGATGAGAGAGAGAAGAGGAAGGACTGGTTGGTCCAAAGTGTGGTGAGATCAGGGAGTCCTGAGCCCATGGGCAAGAACATAGTCACAGAGGGTTAGAGCTGAGAGTGAAGCATCCAGCTGATATGAAGTAAGGGAAGACACACAAGAACACACAAACTTCCAGATAGTACCCATTTGACCTAGTCTTGATGGCTTGATAATCAGAACTCAACTAGAGGAAGATAAAAACAAAAACAGAAAACAATTTTGATAAAGGAAACAAGGGTAAATTGCTACAATTTGATGAACTTGACCAATACTCATGGAAGTAGTAGCCCTAAATACCAACAGAGAGTCTTCACTTCAAGTATCTATGCTATCCTCTTTGTACACAGAGTAGACAGGAATGGGCAACTTAGACATTGGCTACCTAAAATGAGGGGGCAATAAAGGCATCAAGTGACTGGCTTACAAGTTTTCAAGAGGGAGTTTAGTTTAAGAGTATGTGAATAGTTTTCATCTTATCTAAATGGGTCTGGTAAAAAGAGATGGGGATAAGATTCTTATGATTCAATAGTGAGTAATTGTTATCATGAACAATTGCGACTGTCACAATTGTAAAGGAGTTTTGTAACAAAAACAGGGGAGTAGTTAATCTTACAGTCCAGAAACAGAGGACCCTAGGACCATCAAGGGAGAAGAGCACAAGAGGAATACAGGACCTTATTCAGAGAAGCAGCGACACTGGAGATGGAGGCAGAGATGGGGACAACTGAGAGCTGGTGACCAGGAGACAGATTTACACTGTGCCCTTTGGTGGTGTAAATTATTATATATGCCTGAGTGTTTTGTTTTTAGAAAAAAAAAAAAAAAGCTAAAATGAATACAGAGATACTATTACCTGATGGTACATGGAGGGGATTATAATCATTGTAATGAAACAAGGTATATGATTTGTTGAATGTAAAACTGATGCTCTGCCCTGTAAACTTTCACTCAATTCACAATAAAAACTTTTTAAAAATATAAGAGTTTGAGGAATAAGGTGCATCTGATTCAAGTCATGGCATTTTCAATAACCTCATATACATGTGAAAGTTGGACAATGAATAAGGAAGACTTTAGAAGAATCAGAACTTTTGAATTATAGTTTGGGAGAGTATTAGAAATACTATAGATTGCCAGAAGAACAAACAAATCTGTGTGGGAAGAAGTACAACCAGAATGCTCCTTAGAAATAAGGATGGTGAGACATTGTCTCTCATACTTTTGACATGTTATCAGGAGGTATCAGTCCTGGAGAAGGACATCATGTTTGGTAAAATGAAGAAGACTCCCAAAGAGATGGATTGGCACAGTGACAGCAGCAATGGATTCAAACATAACAATAATTTTGAAGTTGGTGTTGGATTGTGTGGTGTGTTTTTTTTCCTGTTGTGCATAGGATCATGATGAGTCAGAACCAACTTGACCACACCTAACAAGAACAATACATTTGCCTGTCCTTTTTTTATATAAATGAGACAATATTGTATGTATCCTTTCTGTGATTGACTTATTTAACATGATGTCTTCCTATTCCCTCTGTATTTTATGAGGGGCTTCAAAAAGTTCGTGGAGAAATAGAATTAAAAGATAATGGAGCTTTTCTTTGCCGGCCGGCACTTCTGCTGCATACTTTTGCCTAAACCACGAACCTTAGTGAACAGATCTTAAAAGGACATAATACTGAAGACTCTGGCGTGGTGTTGTTCGAAAAGGTCTGCTGACCTCAAGACCTGTGGTTCAAACCCACCACCTGCTCCTTGGAAACCCTATATACTTGGCTCCCTTTTCTGCTATATCCAGATCTGATGGCTGGGAATAAAGGAAGGGGACGTGCTGCATATACCTTTAATATTGAGGCAGTTGGATTTACCAGAGGTGAAAAGTTACCTGATGTAGTACTGAAACCACCCCCAGTATTTCCTGATACAGATTATAAACCAGTGCCACTGAAAACAGGAGAAGGTGAAGATTATATGCTGGCCTTGAAACAGGAGTTGAGAGAAACAATGAAAAGAATGCCTTATTATATAGAAACACCTGAAGAAAAACAAGATATTGAAAGGTATAGTAAGAACTATATGAAAATATACAAAGAAGAATGGGTGCCAGATTGGAGGAGACTCCCAAGAGAGATGATGCCAAGGACAAAATGCAGAAAAGCAGGCCCCAAATCGAAAAAGCCAACAGATGCCACCAAAGTCGCTTCACTCGTTAATAGTGCAGATGTGTTGAAAAAAATTGAGGAATTGGAAAAGAAAGGTGATGGCGAAAAATCAGATGAGGAAACTGAAGAGAAAGAAGGAAGCAAAGAGAAAAGTAAAGAAGGCGATGAAGAAGAAGAAGATGATGCTGCAGAACAGGAGGAGTATGATGAAGAGGAGCAAGAAGAGGAAAATGACTACATTAACTCTTACTTTGAAGATGGAGATGATTTTGTTGCAGACAGTGATGACAACATGGATGAAGCAACCTATTAGCCATGATATTGTTCAAAAAAATTGTATGATACAATAGCTGAACATTTGGGCAGGCTTGTTTTCGTTTTTATTTCTGGTAAGGAATAAGTATGTATTCCATTTTTGTTTCTGTTGTGGTAGACAGTTGTAAACTAAAACTTTCAGAACCATTTTGTTTACATAATAATTAGCTCACAAATTAACGTTTGACACTCTGACATTTCCTCTAAACACTTCTGTCATCCTTTTATATTTTCATGTAGATTTTTTAAAGTATTATATGGATTATGTGGTGCCTAAAGAGCCTTTGCATCTTTCAATCTATGTAGTCATACTTGAAAAATTATTCTTGTTTAATTTTTGATAAAGTTATTTGTAGGCATCATAATGGATTTCAGTAGTCTAAAACTTGATTTTAATACTGCACATGGAGCACTTTGCAAACAAAGAAACTTGAAAATAACTTTTTATTTTCACATGGTATGTTCTGTACGACTACATTATGACTACAGAAACCAGCCTGAGCTCTTTCCAATGCAAAATTTGAGGATTGGAAGTTTTATGTTAAAACCAAAGATAACAGGAAAAGGACCAGTCTGAGCTATGCAAAAGGGCCAATTAAAAGTGACATTCAACTGGGTGGATAGTATAAATACTTGAATATAGGACTAACTTCACTTATATAATACAAGGGTAATTTAAAAACTACTACTACAGTTCCATTTCATACATGCACAGTTGTATTCCAAACAAAATATGTTTTAAACATATTTCTGTGATAAGTAGATGGCAGGTTCTCTCGGTGATACATTTGTCTTAGTCTCATTAGGGTGCCTTCAAAAAAAAGGTTCAATAAAAACTGTGGCTTCTGAGAGGATCTACTGTCTAGTTCAATTCAAGCCAGAGAAGTTAGCTCAGAAGATTATGGTGCCTAATTTTAGGGGTCTCCAAAGTGTAATCCTGATAGATTGTCTTTTCTGGGTTTTTTTTTTTAATAAGGGAAAAAAACTTGATTGTAATACTGGGAAAACAACTTAACTTTATTTATGTACACCGATGCTAATTATTTAGATAATAATAAAAAACATTCATTTCTAAAAAAAAAAAAAAAAAAAAAATTCCTGCTTCAGGAAGCAGATACCTTGCACCTGGTTCTTGGAATTCAGACAGCCAAAAAAAAGATAATGGAGCTCTCAGAGCTGTTGCTGTGGAGCCCGGATTCACTCTCCTGCCCAACTTGCACTCCCGATTCCTTCCTCTTCCAAAACCAACATGGCAACTCTCAAGGATCAACTGATTCAGACTCTTCTTAAGGAAGAACAGACCCCCAGAATAAGATTACAGTTGTTGGGTTTGCTGCTATTGGCATAGCATGTGCCATCAGCATCTTAATGAAGGACTTGGCACATGAATTTGCTCTTGTTGATGTCATGGAAGACAAACTGAAAGGAGAAATGATGGATCTTCAACATGGCACCCTTTTCCTTAGAACACCAAAAATTGTCTCTGGGAAAGACTATAATGTCACTGCAAATTCCAAGCTGGTTATTATCACAGCTGGAGCATGTCAGCAGGAAGGAGAAAGCTATCTTAATTTGGTCCAGTGTAACGTGAACATCTTTAAATTCATCATTCCTAATGTCGTGAAATACAGCCCAAATGGCAAGTTACTTGTTGTTTCTAATCCAGTGGATATCCTTACTTATGTTGCTTGGAAGATAAGTGGCTTTCCCAAAAACCGTGTTATTGGTAGTGGCTGCAATTGGGATTCAGCGTGGTTCCGTTTCCTAATGGAGGAGAGGTTGGGAGTTCACCCACTAAGCTGGCACAGGTGGGTTCCTGGAGAACATGGAGACTCTGGTGTGCCTGTGTGAAGTGGAGGAAACGTTGCTGGTGTCTTCCTGAAAAATTTGCACCCCGACTTAGGCACTGATGCAGATAAGGAACAGTGGAAAGAGGTTCACAAACAAATGGTTGACAGTGCTAATGAGGTGATAAAACTGAAAGGCTCTACCTCCTGGACTATTGGACTCTCTGTGGCAGACTTGGCAGAAAGCATAATGAAGAATCTTAGGCGGGTACATCCAATTTCCACCATGATTAAGGGACTCTATGGGAATAAAGATGGTGACTTCCTTAGCATTCTTGCATTTTGGGACAAAATGGGATCTCAGATGTTGTGAAGGTGGCACTGACCCCGGAGGAAGAGGCCTGTCTGAAGAAGAGTGCAGATATACTGTGGGGCATCCAGAAAGAGCTGCAGCTTTAAAGTCTGCTGTCTACCACTTCACTGTCTAGGCTGCAAAGGGATTTTAGTTGGGGGGTTCTGCATTTGTTCTTTTTATCTGATTTGTGATTAAAACAGTAAAATTATGTCCAAGGAAGAACATATGTTTTCCTAAAGTCAGACATAGGAATGGTCCATAAAACCCTAGAGCTATCGCCTGATGGTAGACAATACTAAACCTAGTGTTGTTGTAACTTGGTTAGTATATAATAGTTCCACCACCTCTGAGACACCACTGCCAATGTTGCCATCCTGCCACTGCCCTTCAAACCAGAACGATGTGGTTACTGTGTGTTAGGTCAATTCTGGTTCTTACACTCAACATGCCTAACCCAGTGGTTTTTCCCAATCACATCCTGGGCTCCAATGTGTAAATCCAATATTGCATGTCTTGTGCATAATTGTCCTAAAAGATCTTATTTTGTGTACTATATTTATCGGAGTAGTGTACATTGCCATATAATGTAAAAATATCTACATATAAACATTGTAACAATCTGTCATACCAACTAAAACACCAAATAAATCTTGAACAGTGAAAACAAAAGATAATGGAATCTGGTGTGGTGCTGCAGGATAATGCACTGGACCGAAAGGTCGGTTTGAACCGTAAGGTCAGAGGTTCAAACGCACCAAGCACTGCTCGGAAATCCTACACAGGGTCGCTATCATCATAACCGACTCAAAGGCACTGAACAAAACAACGTATGTGTCAGTACTTCATTTCTCTTTCTGGATGAGTAGTATTCCATTGTATGCAGGTAACACATTTGTTTATCCATTGCTCATTGATGGGCATTTAGCTGTTTTCATCTTTTGACTATTGTGAATAATGCTATAATGAACATTTGTATGCAAATATCTGCTTGAGTGTCTGTTTTCAATTATTTTGAGTATACACCTAGAAGTAGAATTGCTGGATGTAGGATAAGCACTAGATTGCTAAAACCACTAACTGCAAACCCACCAGCTGCTCCATGGGGCAAGGATGAGGCTTTTTGCTCCTGTAAACATTTATTGCCTCAGGAACCCTGTACAGGAGGATCACTATGGGTCAAATTCGACTGGATGGCAGTGAGTTTGGTTTCTGAGTTATGGTAGTTCTATTTTTTTAATTTTTGAGGAATTGCTTCACTGTTTTCCACAACTTCTGTACCATTGTGCATTCCCACCAGCCATGGAGAAGGACTCCAATTTCCCTACATCCAATTTCCCTACATCTCTGCTTGTTTGAGTTTTGTGCTTGTTTGTTGTTTGTCTATCATGGTTATTCTAGTGGAAATGAAATGGTACCTCATTGTGATTTTGATTTGCATCTCTCTGTTGACTAATGATGATGAGCATATTTTCATGTGTTTGCTGGTCATTCGAATGTTCTCTTTGGTGACAAGTATATTCCAGTCCTTTGCCCATTTTGATTGGATAATTTATATTTGTGTTGTTAAGCTGATGAACTATTGTATATATTTGTGTTGTATCATTCTTATTGGATACATGACTTCTGAAGATATTCTCTCAGTTGATACTTTCTCTTTTCACTTCTTTTTTGGTAAAGTCTTTTGATGAACAAAAATTTTGAATTTTTGTAAGATTTATTTTGTCCTTTACTGTTTATACTCTTATTATATTAGATAATCCATTGTTGGAAGCTAGCTCTGACAGTGTTGTCCCTGCATTTTCTTCAAAGAATTTTATAGTTTTTTAAGTTTCACATTGAAGTCTTAATTCATTTTGAATTTGTTTTGGGTATGGTATGAGGCACATTTCCTGTTTAATTTTTCTGCATGTGGAACTCCAATTTTTCCAATACCATTTATTGAAGAGACTCTTCTTTTCCTAGTCAATGAACCCTTGTCAAAAATCAATTGACCATAAATGTATGGGTTTATTTCAGGATTCTCCATTCTATTCCATTGGTCTATATGTGTAAATAGATATTTTGACACAACTCTCATACATACGTGGTGGAAAACAGATGCCATATGAGGATCTTCCACAAACCAAGGAGTCAATGAATGTCTAGGACTACCAGCAAGGAAGGAATCAACACAACTGAGACTCTAATTTGGACTTTAAACTTTCAGTACTATAAGAAAATAAATTTCTGTCCTCTAAAGTGACCCACTGTGGTATTTGTGTTATAACAGCACTAGCAAGCTAAGACAGCCCAGAATGTGCTTTCACCACCTGGTAGGTATCATTTAGCTCTCAATTTAGACCTTCTTAGAGGGCCTCACCTGACCAGCCTATACAAGTATATTCTCTTTGTGTTAGTCCCGATTTCAAACTCACATATTCCCAGTGATACAGTAGTTAAACTCTAGGCTGCTAACTAAAAGGCATGTGTGGCTCAAGCCCACTAGTCATTAAGTGGGAGAAAGATATGTGGCAGTCTGATTCTGTAAATATTTCAGCCTTGGAAGTCCTATGTGTTTGGTTTGGCTATTCCCTTCATTGTTGTTAAGTGCATTGGTGTTACTTTTGACTCATAGTGACCTTGTATAGAGTTTCCAAAGCTTTAAATCTTTGCAGGAACAGAAAGATCACTTGGTCAACAACTGGTGGGCTCAAACCGCTGACCTGGTGGTTTGCAGTCCAGTGCTTATGCTATGTAGCCACCATGCTCCCTGTTCCCTTCATGGTGGTAGCTGTGTGCTGTTGAGTTGGTTCCAACTAGTAGTGGCCCTGTATAAGGTTTCCGAGGCTGTAAATCTTTATAGGAGCAGAAAGGCTC